GAATGCTTTCCTTTATTTCTTAAATAGTGAATTTTTCCTCATTGATATTGATTAACAAGTGACATTAAATTAAATTGGTGTCCTCTAATAGTTTGATATTGAAAAACTTTTATTTATTATATTCCATATCCATCAGGCATATTAGAACAAGTACTGAGCCAGCTATGGCTTTAAGCTATGAAAAGAAAACTTACAGAGAACTGATTTGCCAGGATTGGACCCTCTTCACATACTTTGGGAAATAGTTTAAAGCGTTGAAATTCACCTCTGTAACCTCTTCCAATGCTTCCTGCCCTAAAGTTGATGCTTTAAATGTAAGAGATATTTGGAGAATTTGAAGACAACAAAAAGAAAAGGACATTCTGAACTGAAGCAGAATCTAGACCATGAGATTGGAAAGGAAAAGGGTGGAGGAGATGATTACAAAAGGATTTTATGGATAAATATTTTCATTTCAAATTCTAGACCATGAGGTTGAAAAGGAACTTATCTATCACAACATAAAAATTTATTATAAACAACATGCACTCATAAGCATACTTGTCAAATAGTAGAAGTGAAAACTTACCCTATTCCACCTAAAGGAACACCATGATCACATGTAACAAGGTGCTTTCTGAAAATATCAAATATAGATACCTGACAATAAATGGAAATTTTGTTGTAACTGGCATAATAATAATATAAAATGACTATGACATTTGGTTCAGAGAAAAGATCAGATATATTACTCTTCCTTTTGCTTCTTCTTCTTTGGTGTAACGCCACAGCCGAAAACCTATTTGTGCCTGCCAAAAAAATCAAGTAGTCAGATGAGATATTCCTATTAAAATGCAGATAATCTTAGGCAGCGGCAAACATACCATATGAATTATCTCATTGAAACCTAGGCCAAAACCAGTAGGGGGTTTTCCAATGCTACTCAATTGCCGTTGCCATGTGAGGGAAGGAGGTTTCCCTGAATCAGCCTAAAAATTTTCAGAATAAGGTTGCTCAGCTCAAAGTAGAAGTATGAAATCAGAATATGAGAATTTCTGGATAAAACTGTGTGAATCACCTAATAGACATTATTTATTAATGTCCAATTCTTTATCTTATTCAAAAGGAATTGCAACTTAATTGTGCAATCATATCTGTTTATCTCAGCCAGGATGACACAAAAATATTTGAAAATGAACTCATATTGTCAGTTTATTTCTCAGTGAATAAGCATCTATTTTGCATTCATCAACTAAAAACCAAGAAGCATGCATATTTTTACAAGTTCGTTTTACAATATAATTTCTATTACATAGCAAAGATCCAATGTTCCTTATTCATCAGAGTCATTGGAAGTAACCTGCTTAGAAAGGATTAAAAAGCAGAAAAAACTCCATGAAGAAATTTTCAGAAAACATAAAGACCTTGGAACTGCCATCCTACAATTTGAGTCTGCTACAGCATTTTGAAGAAACATAAAATGACAAAGAAGATTTAGCTTTAAAAGTAAGGATAAGGAAAGCATCTGTATATAGGATTTTGCAGGCAATGGACTTAATACAATTTTCTAGTTTGATCATCAGGCACCAGCAGCTTCTTTGTGGAACCAATATTCTTAGTTTGGGACAGAAATAATAATACTAGAAGGGAAGAACTACTGAATGGACTCAAAGGGTTCTCTGGAGAAAAAAAGGAATCAAAACTGACAATATATCTAAGCTCTATTCTGTTATAGAGCATTTGTATTTGGCAGGCATTCTAGAAAATATTCTGTATTGACAGAACTGTAAAAAGGCGAAAGACAGAGATTGACTGATACCACAAAATAATGCAAGTATCGGTGCAATAAGTACTGTCAGAAAATGTCTTTTGCAACAACTATGTATTAATTAATCAACACTCATTGTTTAATTTTAGTCCCTGGTTGTTGCCAAATTAAGCAAATACACATTCTTTTGCAGAAGTTCCGGAAAGCCTTTGACGTTTGGATATTTTTATGACGACTTCAAGTTTCAAGTTGATGCTACCAAATTCATCTCTCCTGTAATCAGATTATCCTTGAAAAAATAGTCATAAGTTCATAGCTTTATTCACACAAAAACAATAGTTCACAGTTCACACAGGAGGTATCAAGAACATGACATTGCCCTTTTTCTTTTTTTGTATAATGGCAATCCAATATCTATAAGATTCCTTTTGCTATGAAGCAACAGAAGAATATGTAACAATGCGTACTTAACAAAAAGGAACTGGGGCTTCTTTTATGAATAAAAGCACAATTACGACAAGCTTTTCCATTGATACAGAACTTCCCAGTTCAGAAAACTAACAGCATGTGGAGTTTTGAGACCAGAAACAATGTAAGTAGTTGTTACATCTAACCATCTCTTCAGGAAAGAAACACAGTCTGAACAGGAGGATGACTCATTTCTGTTGAAATATAAATCATTTGCCAACTTACCTCAAGCAAAGAACCATTGCTAGTCTCATCGTTTTCAACAGTTTCTTTCAATCCATTCTCCATAGTGCCTAAAAAAGACGAGGAAACTTTTTAAAGCTTTGAGATTAAAGACAGCCATACTTTCCAAATTCTGTCTTGTCATAGATGAATGTGGGCTGTGGCTTGGAGCCCACCACCTACCTTTAATTATATGGGAACATAAAATTAAAGAAATGGAAGTGACAAGTCAACCATTAACGATCATAGCAAGTTGTTGCCTGTGCTGTGCTTATATCAGATAACTATTATCAATCATTTCTGAATATTGAATATGTACTGGGAAGTGAAGTAACAAGTCAAAGTGGAGAAAACCGTTAATGATCATCATAGCAAGATGTTGATGAGACAAAGAAAGACTAACCTGGAAACCAAAAAAAAAAAAAAAAGGGGGGAAAAACAGAGTCACTTCTGGCTTATATCAGATACAGCAAAGAAAAGCTTACCCTTACTGACTGTGCTTCTTCTCTTAATGATTTGCTGCTTTGGGTTTTCGTTAAATGATCAAACAGAGAGACACAGAGGGTCTGAGAGTGAGAGAGAAAGAGATGACTCAATGGGCCATTGAAATCAAAGCATTGATGGTATATGTTATATATTGGATAAGGAAAGGGAGAAAGAAAGAGAGAGAGGAAGAGGAAGAGGAAGGTGGTTAATGATTGAAATATCCGTTAATCAAAGCGTAAAATATCATTTGCTGGACTTCACAACCTTTCGTGTTTATTTATTATATATATAAAGATATAATGGGTAGCTGAAGTGAAAGAGATGTGTCCCTCCATAATTTGTCCTGTTTTTTTATACTATTATGGATTCCGGTCCTCTTTTTCTATTATACATTTTCAACTTTAGTGGTGGATGGCATATGTGACAGATTCCAAAAGCAAACCATTTGTGTTTAATAATTGAATACATTTTTCTTTTTAAAATTAATATTTATTATCACGTGCAGAGAAGAAAACTTATTATTTATTTATTAATAATTAATTACATATAAATTTAAAACTATAAAATTACATAACAATATAATTATAATTGAGAGATAAATATTTTTAAAATTTAATATAATTAATTTTTTATTCTAAATTAGATAAATTGTATTAATATTTCAATCTAAAAGTCATATCTATTATAAAAAAAAATCTTATTTATAAGTTGAGATTTATCCTATCTCTTATTTATATGAAATTTACAATATTTTATTTCAAGTAATTGTGAAACTAATATCTTAATATCTCTTATTTATATAAAATTTATAATATTTTATTTTAATCCAAAAAGAGAAAATGAAATAAAATTCTTATTTATAACTTCAAAACTGATTTTATTTTTTGATATTATAAAAATATTTTAAAATATAACAAATATATAAAAATTCTTATAATTAAGAAACTTTTCAACATTACGTTTGTGTTGATGTTAGGCAAAGCTCAGAAAAGTATAAGAAAATGAAAGTCTGTTGTTGGAATTAGGTTGAGTAGTCGTAATCAAACCCCTAACTATGTCACTTTCAAAAAACCAAGAAAACCCCATCATCACGTTAACCATTAGAGAGGTTGGAGACTATCCTAGTCCAAACTCTGAACAAGGTGGAAAAGGCTGGATCACCTGCCAGAGGTAAATTTGATATAAATTTTTAAGATATAATATTTAAATTCAAATTTTAAAGTGTAATATTTAAATAAGTCATTAAATTATTTTAAAAAATTTAAATAAATTTTTATTTTTTATTATATAAAATTAAATTTTTATATTTTTATTATAAATTAAATAATTTTTTAATTAATTAATTATTATTAATTAATAAAATATCATATATCATGTTACCACATTAAATTAATATATTATATTACTATTCATTATAATATATTAATATATCATACTATTATTATTAATAATTAATATATATTTTATTTGATTTTTATAAATTATATGAATTAAAATGACCGGTGATGGTATGGACGGTCAATCACGGATGGCTTCCATGAATCCAAAGTCACCTTTTAGGAATATTATTTATATGTTATGATGATTCTGCGATCTTTTCTTTCTCCTTTTATTAATTATACAATAATTTTTAATATGTATTATTTTTTATCATTTGTTTTTATTAATTTAAATTTTTTTGTCAAAGTAAAATATAAATAATAATAAAAATAAATTTTTTTAATGGCTAGTGGATACTGTGTTAAATGTGAGCATTTGGGAGCTTTTTGTGTAAAGATTGATGAAGATTATTATTAGTGATATTTTAAAAAATAAAAAGTGGAGAGAAAGTCACTAGAATAAGAGAAAATTTTATTTGTATCCTAAGTATCATGATATAATTTATTATATATAACTTTTTTATATTATCTAAATCTAATTTAATCTAAAGTTAAATTAAATTATAATGAATTCTATCTAGTATCTTGTCTACCCTTGATATCTGTTTTTGAAATTTTAACATATTCGGAGGGTATTTTCGACTTTTTAGTTTTTTTCTCGTTTCTTCCTCACGTCGCTCTTTTCGCCATGCTTGAGGAGACCGGTGCCCAATTCCCAACTGGAAATTTTTGTCCAATCTAGAACTTTCTCTTTGTCTCTTGTTTCACACTCAAAGACCCTTCACCCAAACATTCCTTTCTCTTTAAGAAAACCCAAAACCCCCTTCTCTCATTCACACCAGTTTTCTTCCTTTTTTTTTTTTTATTTTTTAAATTGACTTTTACTGATTTTACTTTAGTTTTCATTTGTGCAAGTTTGGCTGGTGTTCTTTATCTTCTAACGCTGGAAGACGCACCGGGTAAGTGAACAAAAGGGTGACCTTGATTTACTTCTTCTTCTTATTATTGTCTGTTTGCGCAATCAAGGGATTGTGTTCATATGATTTTTGCAACTCAGCGACCCATTCTCTAAGGCTGTTCAATTGAAATATTTTCGTTTACATTCATTGTTATGCAGATTCATAGCTTTGGTCAGGAAATGAGCTTTGTGGGTCATATACCCTGTTTACATTCATTTTTATTTCAAGGTACTGTAGTTCTACCGTATATAGGGTTCTTAATCCTGAATGGGTTTTTGATTATATAGCTGTTTGCATGACCAGGGAACTGGGGTCTTTCAACTTTCAATGTTGGTTACGATTTATGGTAGAAAAAACAAAGAAAAGAATTCCATAGCTGGCGCTTGACTGAAATGTTAAGCAAAAGTAATAAAAACTAGGAGCATATCAGTTAGTTGAAGTAACTGTGATGTTTCCTTTGGCTTTCTCTCTGACAATTGATATCATTCAACTTGGACCTTGAGATCTGTTACTGTGACTTTTTTTTTTCTTTTTATCTGTTTTCTCACTTTTGTGCTTTGCTTGGATTTTCTTGATATCTCTGAAATTTCCTTGTTGTCAAATTTATTTCTGTGTTGCTTTAGGTGCAAGGAAATCTATATATATTAGTGTTTGAATTAATTATATACTGGGACATAAGTGCACAGGCATTGTCAAAAGCCAAAGGGATACAGAATTCCACAGTCTTTCATCTTTTTTATTTATTATGGTTTGGACCAACATTTGACTATTTTATCATTGAAAAGTTGCGTATTATTATCATGAGATTATTCCTTAAACAATCATTAATTTATTGTTAATAGAAAGCATCTCACCAATCAGAAAATTGACAGTATTTTCTATATCCCATACAAAGGATTTAAAATTTTCACTGTCAGTATACTTCTTCCTTCATAATTAGTGGAGAAAGTGAAAGGAAACTATAGTGTTTCTTTTTATTTACTTCAACAACATCATCGTGGTTGGTGTACAAGGAAACAAATTTCCCAATTACTCTGTTATAGTTTGTTTGTAGTACTCATATTTGACTCTCATGTGTTCTTTTCATATTTAAACTGTTTTTTTATCCTAGGGTTGACCTTTGTCTTTTACAGAAGGCTCGACTATTAAATCTGCTTCCTGTTTTAAAACCAAATAAAAATATACTTCCTGTTTTAAAACCAAATAAAAATATATATGTAAAAGTCACACTTGATAGATATTTGATTTAGGCTTACAAAATCTTTTGAGACCTTAATTGCGTATGTTGTCATGTTCAGAAATTTATTTTTGCAAATATATGTTATTGTTCTTCAAAACACTGCTAAACTTTTACAGTTTAGCTCTATTTACGTGTGATTTAAATTTTCTAAAGTTCATGTGTTTCTAGTTCCCTTAGTCTGCACTATATTGTTTGTAGGTATTTCATCAAACATTTTATATGGTTCTATGTTTGAATTTGACTGAAAATTGCAGAGGATCCTAATGGAATTTAGAGGTGCACTTTCTAGAACTTTTAAAATTTTGTATCCAATCTAAAATAAATTTTCCAATCTCCATTGGTGAACTTACAGTCACAAAAGTTGCCATTTATAACCTAGTAGTTATATAATTCTCAAACTTTCTTGAATTTGAAAGTTCCTGGATAAGAGGCAATCTACATGCCAAAAGTATGACAAATGAACATTCCTTGAGTGTAAAGTAAAATAATTGTCACTTGGACCAGTATGAAGGCTAAAAAATTACTAATTACATTTATGATTGGTTATCTGTTGTGCAAGTAAACTGTTATTGCCTCTCTACAATTCACACTGAGAATGAAGCAAACCTTTCTATGACACTAGTGTAAAGCTAATGCTGTGAATGGTTGGACTTAGACATTACTATTAGCTATTGTGTCAAAACCTTGGTGTAGAAGATTTTGTAGTCAGGTTCCTGCTTTCAAACTTTCTTTTTCATAAAAATTTTGGTTTCAGTTTTCTTTATTTATACTTTGCTATTTTAACTGTGCAATTGCTTCTCTCTTCAATAGCAACGATTAATAGATAATCTAATTAGGAATAAAATAAAAGAGGCATCCCTTTTGTTAAGATTTATTTGATCACTACCAACATAGCGTTTTCTGTCTTTAGGGCTTTTATCCTAATTGTCACTGTGTTATTAGTTTAGGAGATAAGTAATATTGATGGTGGATGGTGTATTAGATCAGGGACTACCCTGCTTAAGTTTCCTTGACAAAAATGATTACATGGTACATGTAATTTTCCGGAATTGGCTAGTCCTGCTCTTTGAGTCTTCTCCTTTCAAAATAAATTAACATGATGTATGAATCTATGTGCCACTTTGCTTTCTGGTATATATTGTTGACTATTATCTTACTATCAAAGGGTTTTTTAGGCTGCTAAGATTTTTACGGTAATTTTAAAAAACCCTAAACCCCATATTGAATAGGGCATCTAGGGGAATCATGTACCTCTTGAACTCCCATACCTTGCTGATGCATGGGCAATACTTTTGTTCTGTTTTTCAAACAGCTTGCTCATTGATTTATACAAACAATATTTTTACAGTTTGTAATAGATGTTATTTATAGATATGTTGAATAGTAATTAGTAGGATTATTGTCTTTGTTTTAGGATAATATTCTGCTCATTGAGAATGAGAACAATTTTTGTACATATTAGGATAGTTTTGGTGCAGGATTATATCAATTACAACTTTTACAATTCTTATCAGCGGTTCATAATTTTTAACATCTAAGTGTTTATAAAATTTTTCAAACCCGCTGCATAGCGTGATTATTTTTCTGGTTTTATATTAAATATAACAATATGTAATATGAAATGTAATTTTTAATACATTAATGTATCAAATGTTATTTTACAGCATAAGATTAACGTTGGGCTTATACTTGACTGACAACAAATTAGCTAACTTGGGCCTTAGGCTAGCCTAAACACTTCTTTCCTATTTTCTTTTGTTATCTGGTTTTTCCTTCCTAGAAAAACTTAGGGACGGACAATTCTTCGGTTGGTTGGTTCAATTTGTCATAATTAAGGATCACAGGGATTTAATTTTTTTTGAAAAAGGATTGAACCATCCAAATTTAAAAAGAGAATTGAATCGATGAAAAATTGAATTGATTTGATCAGTTCGACTTTGGATTGAAAGAAAGTAAAACTTGTCACTTTTGTCTTTTGTAAATTACAATATTGAAATTTATAAATTTCATTCACAATTATAAAATATATTAATAATCTAAATATATAAAAAACATAACAATTGTCCTTTCACTCATATAAATCATAATATTTAACATTAACAACATCAATATCTTTAAAATTAATATTTATAATCACAAGAGTCAAGACAAACTTTGTCTTTTTACGTAAGTCATAAAATTAACATTTAAGAGTTTTAAATTCAAAATTCTAATATTCAAAATTTAACATAACAAAAATAATAAAATTAATTCTAATAGCAACTAAGTAAGTAGTAAATGGTAAATATATATTTTATATAAGTGCATAATATATAATATTAAGTTAAGTTTTTTCGTCGATTTGATAAAAAATTTTATAACTGAGAATTAATTAAATAAATCAATTGGATCTAATTTTGAGGATTAATAGGCTGAATAGACTAATTGGATCGAATTCGTTTTATTGAAATTTCATTTGGTTTTATCGGATCATTAATCTGGTTTAATTTTATGCATCTTAGTTAAAACTGCGCCGTTTATGATTGGACTTTTTATTTGTTTAAAATTTTCCATTTTCGGGAAGCTTTACCATATCAGAAACACTTGGCAGCAAATTAAGAAGAATGAGTTTCGGCGACATGCAGAACCAGCCCGAACTCATGATCACCATGACCAAATCCATTCGCTCGTTTCTTCTCTCAGCGTCAAATGATCCATGCCTTTCTCAAGAGTTTCGACAACTCGCTCTCACTCTTTCCTCACGAACCAATGCACCGTACAAGCTGATCCAAAGTATATGGATCAGGTCAGATATTGACACAAGACCCAGATTGATTTCCTTGTTCTCCGGTTCTGATTTTGTTTTTATCAGCCCTAAACCGAGAGAGAAGGTAAATGAATCATGATTCAGTTTTCAACTTTCTAGGTATATTTTTGGTTGCATTTTCTTATTAACCGTGAAATTAAGTTGGTGTTGTTTTTTTTGTTTGAATTGGTAGAGCGAAGAATTGAAGGAAAGATTAAGGAAGCTTAAAGAAATAGCAGAGAGGAAAGAGTATGAATACCTTGTTAAAGATATCACGCCGAAGAAGGATTTGAATGAACCTTTCTCTAATTATAAGGATCAGCTTGGCTTTGGTTAGTAGTATTCTTTGAGAATATTTTGCCTTTTAATTTCTGAAAATAAATTTTAAGTAGCAAAAAGAACGATCAAACAGTAAGAAAAAGAAGTTTAAATAATATGTTTTTTCCCAATTGCAAGATCTTTTCTTACATTTATGCTTTCGATGATGTATGCACAAACAGGTTTACATGTCGCACTGATGATGTTTACTGGGTATTTGGGCGGATATTTTGCATTCAGAGCATTGTTTAACCACAATTCTACCATGGTATCTTCAAACTCCCATTCTCAAATTTATAAATAGCTGTCTGGGTGCTTTTAATTATTTTGTACTGAATTTGGTGATGCTTGGTTTTTAATTCTCAGAATGCTGCTGGAGGTATTCTAGGATTGGTTCTTGGTATGCTGCTTGAAACACTTTTATTCATTGTTAGGACTTCGAATCCTGACTTTAATTCATCATCCTCAACTTCGAGATTGAAGAAAAATCAATAGAGTAGTATGAAAAGGTTGGTTGTTTAACTTTTCTTGATTTCTATTTTTCATGATAAGTGTCTAAGTATCTGAGTTATCAAAATGTAAATATTATCACCTTGCAATTCAAGGGCATGTTATTTGATGTTCTTTGTCATGAGCAATTTCTAGGATTGATTTTTAATTTTGGTGAACTCTTGATGAATTCTGTACAAATTAATGAGAGAAGAAATAAAAGTATCTTTAATAATGGTGAAATTTAAATTGTTTGAATGGACTTCTTCCTTTGTTTGACATGTTTATCAATTTTGAATTAATTCATTCTTTTTAAGAGATATACATTATATCAATATCCTAGTTAATTTGGTTAAGGTTATAGAACGTTTTGGATCTGAAATTGCTATAGATATCCTAGTGCATTTTGTATATTTTGAAGTTGTACAAAAGGCGTCTATTCCATGAAAAAACGGAGCTATAAAGAAGAATAGAAGACTTCATAGCGCAATTCAATCAAGTCTTAACTAGGCCACAAGTTCTTTTATCTATTCCGTATTTGAATACCTTTTACATATTTTAAAGATTGCTCACATTATCCTAAATCCTAAAAATAAAAATGCTCTTTATAAACAATATTTATCTTGCTAAGAACAACCATATTATCTTGGTTTGTGAATTGTATTTAGCCTGGAAAATTAGTCTCCTTGTTGTCAATTGATGTTCCTCTTGGATCTTGATTGTGTTTTGATTTCTTTTAGTGAAAAGAAAAGATTTGATTGTCTCTCCCTTAACTAATACTAGATTCTGCAAGTACAAGCAAAACTTCCTTTAGAGTTATTTGCAATTGCCATTCGCATGGATTACCATTGGAGGTTGTATAATTGGATAATTTGTGCTTCGCAACAACTTGAGCTTGGTGTAGACGATTGAAATTGTGCCTTTATAATTTCGACTCTAAAGACAAAAGGTATAATATTCTTTATACCATGCACGTAGCAATAACTCTCCTTTTGTGTTAGATTAAAGTTGGTGATGTCATTTTTGGGTTACCTATCGATCGAGGCTGAGTTCTATATTTTCATGCAATTGTACACTGTTGGTTTATGCTCATATAGTGTTCCATAAAAGGTGGAAATAAAATTATTGAAGCTCTTATGGAACTTGGCATTGCACCAAAGTTTGAGTTTGTGGGTTGTTATCTGTTTGCTAATTGGATTCAAGGATTATGGAACTGTAGAAGCAAATTTGTGCATGCTTTTGGCATATGAATATGAACATGGCAGGACCAAATGAAAGAACCCACGTGGTTTTTCAGTAAGGGCGTTGCTAATGATCACTTCTTCCTGCCCCTAATATCTTGCAGGGACATTTACAGTCCTTAGTTTCCGTATGATCCTTTCCACTCTTGGTAATTCTAAATCATTAATTTGTAATTTGGAGATTGTTAGTTTTCTCCTTAAGAATTTTTTTTTTTTTTGGATTTCAAAGTTGATACTTGTTATTTTCATTGACAATATTTTAAGTTGATGTTCATGAGAGCAATCCTTTCTTTACAATAAATTACGAAAATCTCTTATGGATTAATGTAAACTTGATAGAAGTTGAGGTAAAGGAATGTTTAAAAAAATAATAAATTATACAATTATCTTTTATTTTTTATAATAATTTGTAAAAACTAAATTTATATATTTTTTAAAATTAATAGTGTTAGTCTAATTGAAATGGCTCTAATTTTTTTTAATATTTATATTGTTATGACATTTGATTGATATGATGATGTAATTTTTGGTGGACATGATATTTTCATCTTTATCATTACCTTTTTCAATTTTATATAATCATCACAATTTCAAATTTCGAAAAAGGAATATAAAGAAAAAAGCTTGACATTTATTTTTATCCAAAAAAAGCTCAAATTTATATAAATAACAGATTGCAATTTTGATCTTCCTTAGATGGCTTACTCCATCAACCACCATTATCACCGCTTCATTGCTATTGGAAAAAATTGATTAAAAGTGGACCTTATTTGTTAGAAGCTAATTGTATAATATGACAAAAAAAAACAATAATAATGAGTCTTTTAGTACTTGAAGAACTTGGTAAAATTTACTCTTAAGATTAAATAATTGTAAAATTATAAAAAATTAGAATTCCTTTTGGGTAAGAAGAGAGCTCAACCCAACCAACTATTTATGGACTCTGAGTTTGAGAAGAAGAAATTTGGTTTCTTTCCTTTTGGGCCATTGGGTTGGTCAATTTACAGTAAGGTTATTATTTTTGACCTTCTATAAGGTCAATCAATAAAAAATCATTAGATTTATAAGATTAAATAATAGCCATTGATTTAAAACTGAGAAAGAAGCCGGTAAACAAGTTCAACCGATTAATAAAAAAATTAAAGAATCAGGAGAGATAAGGACTCTTTTTGATAGAAGAGTTAGGAGAGATGAGAATTCTCCCCTATTAAATGTGTTATCTCCTAATGGAGGAATTTTTTTTGTAATATTTTATTGTGAGTTTCCTGACCAAGTTTATTTTCCTTCACCCTAGCCGACAATTTTGTTGCAGCAAGTTTACAATAGCAAGCCATCCCTGGTCTGAAAGTTTCCAAGACAAAAGACTCTACCTAGGGCTACTTCTAAGTCAATGCCTACAAGTATGATGTATTGCTTGTTGTGGCTCATGAATTGTCTTTTGTTTTTTCTGTTAAAAGAGTGTGAATTTTTATAAAGAAAGGATGTCAAAGGAATAGTTTTTTATGACAATTCTTTTTACCATGGGATCTTTAGTAAATTTTTTTTATTTGTTTGGTAATTTAGGGCCAAAGTTGTTAAAAGGGGAGGCTTAGACTTCAACCTTTTGTCTGTTCAGTCATTATTATCTAGCCAAATTATGTTGCTTTGATCAATCCCTGAACAAGTTTACATAGTCCTTTGATTGTTCTTGCTTAGTATCAACAATTCTTAAGCAAACAAATGAATATTGAAGAATCAGAGGTGAAAATTATTATTATTAGCAAACAAAAAACATACCAAAGACTATGATAGAGGGCCATTGTCCTTTGCACCACCCAATCCAAGGGGGTCCCATGTTGATTAAACCTAATAAATTCATAATAAACATTTCATGCAGCAATCTAACTTCTAACTAGAACTCCATGCTAGATTTACATGACTTGCATAGATATGTATTTTATTTATAAAATCATAATTTTTTTCTAAATTAACATTTCGGTATGTATTAATATACCTTATTTGTCAATTTCATCATTTTATCCTTATATTATTTTAGTTTTGTCGTAGATGTATAAGAGACTATGTCGTTTCAAAACTTAGTGGCAATGGCATTAAACAAAACACTTTGCTGTTTGTATTATATGATACTTAGCCCCATCAGCAAAATTAGTATCTATTTTTCCCTCTATATTGTAGTGATTGTAAATGGCTTGTTCTCTAAAGTTAAATAGAGATGCATTTATGTTATTGTATGTTATTCACAGTAATCATGTATGTGTTTAATTCACAAGTGAAACTGAGAATCTAATGATTCAAGCATAAATAAAGTTAAATAGCATATAGCAAACAATGGTTTTGGATCAAATAGCCTGGGTACAAGGAAACTAGAATTACTTGAAAAGAAGTAGTCTCTTCCCTTGTTACAAATCAAATGCCAAGCCAGAATTCTCTTTTCTATGATGAGAACCAAGCACTTCTTGTCATCATCGCTTAACAATCTATGAGCTATCTAATTCATCACTTCACAATCTCATAATCGCTAAAATGAGATAGGTTTTTTTTTCTTGGTTTGATTGAATTAAATTGTAAACATGATAATGCTATCTAATTCATGGTGATTTAGAAAATTTCTAAATCATTATTACTTTCCTATGTTTGCACTCACTGTTCTGAGTATCATTCATATTAATAACTAGCTTATGGAAATTGATTTGAAATTTTATGGGGATAGTCTGCATTTGCGTAATTTTTTTTCTTTTCTTTTCTATTACAATTTTTTAAAAATAATATGGTTTAAGTTAAGAAAAATCTAGTTGTGTTTGAATATTACATTACTGTATAACTTCTTAATTTATGCTTTGGTATTTGTTATTGATGTTTGTCACAACAATTATTCAATTCATTATCCTTTTTGAGGTTGGTTGTATTTATTTTGTGATGCAATTTTACAAATACTGCTGTTAGAAAATCAAAAAATAATGAATGAAATTTTCAATCTTTATTCTCAATTCGCACTAGTCAAAATTGATGATGTTTTAGTTTTCTCGGAAAACTTAGAAAAACATTCTAAACATCTCAAAACATTTATCAATGTCAAAAAGAAAAATGGCCTAGTAGTGTCTAAGTCCAAATTAAGCCTTCCAAACCAAAGCAAGATTCTTAGGTCATTATGTAATAAAGGGTACTATAACCCCAATAAAAAGATCAATTAAATTTGCTGAAAATTTCTCTGATAAATCACAGATAAAATTCAACTCCAAAGGTTCTTAGGTAGCCTTAATTATATTATTAATTTTTATCCTAGATTAAATAAAATTTGTAAACCTCTACACCAAAGACTTAGAAAAAATCTTACCCCTTAGACAAATAGTCACACTTAGGTAGTTAAACAAATAAAACAATATAAAAGGAACTACCATGTCTGGATCTAGCAGATTCTGATGCCCTAAAGATTGTAGAAACTGATGCCTCAAAAATAGGTTACGGAGGGATCCTAAGTAAAAGGTCAGAAGGAACAAATTGTTCAATTTACCTCTAAGCATTAGACACCGACCTAGAAAAATTATAGTACTATCAAAAAAGAAATTTTATCTATTGTTTTGTGCATTTCAAAAGTCTAAAGTGATTTGTTAAATCAAAAATTTCTTCTGAGAATTAATTGCAAATCTGCTAAAGAAGTTTTACAGAAAGATGTTCAAAATATTACTTCTAAACAAATTTTTGTCATATGGCAAGCGATTTTAAGTATTTTTTATTTTGATATTGAATATATCAAAGGAGAAATAAATTCTTTACTGGATTTTCTCACCAGAGAATTTTTACAGGGAAAGACATGCCTCCGAAATTGAGAGAAAAGAAAAAGGAAAAAGAAAAAGAACAAAAGAAGCAAGACCGTTAAAAAATATTAGATACAAAACCAATCAAATCATGGTACGAAGTCTATGCCTAAGAAGAAGAAAAAGCCTAAAGCTCCTCAAGAGCCCAAACCTAAAGCTCTTCCAAAGCCCAAACCTCTTCCCAAAACATGTACCCAGATGCTCAAGACTCCAATGAATTAGACTTTTAAGTCAAAAAATGGATTGTCTCTTTCCTAATCATTAAAAGTAGCCTTATCACTAGCCTCCCAAATAGAAAAGATACACTCATCAAACAGATTGCCCTCTGTCACTTGAAACTTCCAAAAGGAAAGAAATTACCCTTCATAAGCCCAAAACACTCCAACCCACATTCCCGACAACCAAAATAGCCTCCTAAACATTATCCTCTTCTTCCCAAAAAAGTCAAACCTAATACTATAGGAAGAAATCTTTTCCAAATGTCTTATTAATCGAAGAATGATTCTATGAGAAATCCCCAAATGTAGCAATAAGAAAAGCCTTCCAAGGATGGCATTTCAAACCATGCAATTTTTGTTTAATATGGTTAGTGTTTAGTTGTTGGTTTATTCGTTCAAATGAGATTTCTTCCTTTCGATAAACAATCTATTTTTGTTTATGATTAATTAATGAATTAATTTGATTTGTATCAATTGATAAGTATTTTAATAAATTAATGTTCCTAATTCTTGGTTTTTCTAGGAAAGGAAAAGTGATTTTAGTTTTTAATATTTTGGTGGTTATTGCTTGATGAGTGACTTTGTATGGTTTTAATATTGGTATTAAAAGGGGTTTCTAAAATAACATCTTGGGCTATATTTTTAACCATTTAAAAAGGTGTTTTGAATTTTATTCATCGGCTATAAATTTCTACATTTGATATTTTGTAAGTACTTTTAAGTTTTTCTCCATTAGTAATTTTCAATCCTTCTGTTGTTTTGTCATAGTATTTTGTTGGTATAATTCCTTCTTTGATGCAATTCTGATCTGCACCTATATCGAATAATGTTATTGTTTCTAATTGGAATTCTTCATTGATTAAAAGTTTTGTTTTTATTAAGTATCTTTGAAGGATACCTCCGTAAGTACCATCATGTATTCTTTTGTTTTTTAGTTTTTTGTTTTTGAATCTAAAGACTCCTAGAGTTGTTAGTTGTTGGCATAGAAACTTTGGTACAAAATCACCCCAAAACTATTCAAAATTCCTCAACAAATCCAAAAAAAAACAAAAACCTCAAAACCAG